GCGACTGATCTGCCTCGCCCCGAAAGAGCGCAATGATGGTGCCAACTTGGGCCAGTGAAGCAACGTCCTCCACAACTAGACTGAAGAACAAAACGACAGCAATTTGTCTGTTCCCATCCCCCAATTCCCAATAAAAATCTTTTAAAAAAACAATATTTAAGAGCTCTAATTTAGGAAACTCAGACTATTTCTAAGGACTTTTACCATGCGGTTTCTTCTAAAATATGCTGGTTTTGAATTTAAGGATAAATGAAGAAAAAGATGGTTCAGAGTAAATCCACTAGCACTATTAGAAAAACTACTCAAAATGTATGTCTTACTGCAAATGATGTTATCAGTAGCATCAGTTTGATAGACAAACTCTTCACCTTATCTACAGTTTTACTACAGAGATGATCTCAAACAACAGGAAAAACTCATAATGCACAAAAATGATGTAATATAGAATAGTTTCCCTAATGAGAAATGTGGAAAATCTTATATACTCAAACATTAAATCTGACTTTCAGACTGTAGAAGTTATTGAGTCATATTTGAGACTTGATTATTTTTTAAAATCTACAAAATAATTTAAGTAACCTATACTAAAGTGTGCTGCAAGGTTTATATTCTTTAAAAATGTCAAATTTGGTATATCTATAAAGTTAAAGTTACCCTAAATACCCATAAACTATGATGTGCATAACAAATAATCAAATGCTTGCTTTCTTCCACTTTCTTTTTTTTTTGTTAAAGAAAAGTTAGGATCAGATTTTTAAAAATAAACATATATTCACAGTATCTTTTAAACAAGATTTCAGATACTTATAAAATAGCTAAATGATAACCACTGACAACCAAGAATGGACAACAAGGTGAATTGAACTAAGTTGGGAGATTTAAAAACAGAGGACAGCAAAGTATCCCAAAGAAAATATCCAAAAAGACAAGAAAGCAATTTAAGAGAAGAGAAACAGGCTTAGATTTGTTTTATAGGAGGACATGGTAGGTTATCAATGGCATGGCTAAACTATGTTCCAAGATCATCTGGTCATCTTTTATTCAGTCCTAATACCCTTTTGGTTCTAGCTCTTCACTAAAACCCCCAATTTATCCCTTATTTTCCTGGGTTAGCCATTCTGCAATATTAAATACTTTAATGCCATATACTGTAATTTGACAAGTAGCAGACACCATCTAAATACCATTCTCATCTTCATTCCTCCCAGTAGACAGACCGTGTTCTGTTAGTTAATTACCTAAAAATTTAGGTGGCATTTTCAGAGCAAAAAAGTTGGGTGTCATTTTTAAATAGTAAAATACAACTTCCCATATGATCATCCTACATAAGTCAGCATTTTCCCCTTCTTTTTCTGGAATTCACCCAAAAGCCACAACAACCAAATTCTAAACATTTTATTTTCATTGACTTTAAGAGCCCGATAAAATCCACAGACTCCACAACATATGAAAGCACTACCCAAAGCAGCCAAGATTAGACAGAAGACATGCAACTGGAAGTAGATCACAGAAGTCAAAAGGACCCAGTGTAAAGAGATCTTAGAAAGTATCAGCAAAAATATACATTACAAAGGTGAAAGATACATACTGAAGTACAGAGTTATATACCCTTTGTTTGCAAAAACAGGTACAGAAGCTGGGGCAAGAAGGATGGCAGAAGTCCCCTGGACCTCATTTGGTACAGAGAAGCAGAAAAAGCAATGCTACGTATAAAATCTGACACACAAGTCACACTTGCAAGGCACCTTATGTCCAGCTAAGAGATGTATACGTAGACCAGCTAGCGAACTACGAGATTATACTGGCAACCTAGCTTTTCAAAAGAAGCCTTGTACCAAACAACTAGCCTAAGGAAATCCAACTTGTTCAATATGATAGGAACTTATATCTAAACAAAAAATACTTTAAGATAAAAAGCAGGAAAATGTAAAATTCTGACAAAAAAACTATGGAGATGTATAATAGGCCAAAATCTTTGCCACAATTTTTAAAAACTTAATGAAGCAATTGTGTCTACTTGAAAGATTATAAAGCAAAAGGAGATGGAGAGACAAAAAGATGACATAAAAAAGAGTGGCAAAATCAAGGGGGAAAAGTAGAGGAAAAATTCAAATGACAGAGATAAAGATTGGTAAAAGTAGAATACAGTGGTAAACAGACATTAGAAAATAAAATAAAGGACACAGAGGCTAGTAATGAGAAAAGCTAATAAAGTTTTTTTAAAAAAGAGTTAAAACAATGATAAAGATAATAACAGATATGATAGACAAAGGACATGGAACAAATGCATACTAGACAACATTCACACACACCCCCCAAAAAAGCGAAACAAATTTATAGAATATTTACGGTTATACTACCCAATAAAATCATATAGGTATGAGTGTTGTAAACAGTACAAAGAAAAACATTCAGAAAGATAATATTGACTAAAATTAGGAAGAAGATTAAGGATGGATGGGCTAAGGATAGGAAATTTAATGGTACTTTAAACATTTTTAATAGTAGAAAATGGCCAAAGGAATAGACAACTATTGGAATTATATTAACATTAAAATTATGAGGATAAACAGAAGAACAAAGATACAACTTCCCTAAAAGTCCAAACTACATAATATACAAAGCAACCACACAGTGAAAGATATTTAAAAAGAATAGGATAACAAAAAATTGCAACAAAACCAAGACCAAATAAATCTACCATATCAATGAATATAAATAAATTTAACTCAACTACTAAAACAAAAGAGATTTTCATATAGGACCACAAAAACAAAACCAATTCTGGTGAAAACAAGGGCATATTATTTAAAACAAAGTGATTCAGAAGGCTTGAAAATAAAATGATTAACAAATAGACCAGGCAAATGAAAACCATAAGAAAATAAGGGTTGTGAACCTAAAAGGCATTAAACATTAAGACAAAAAAGACATTTTATAAAAATGCTCAAGGATGCATTCACAATACAGGTATAAGAGTTAGATTCATGTATATTGCAAACAACAGCAACAATCTTAAAACAGAAATGCAATATATCAAAGAAAATACTAGTAATCACAGATGTACACTGAAATGTGGTATATCTCAATCCATGACAGATAAAGTAGACAAAAAATAAGTGAAGATATAGAAATCTGAATAATGTAATCAATAAGCTAGATCTGGTTGATAAATGTCATATTTTATACCCTAAAAAAAATACAGTGTACCTATTTTCAAGTTTCCATGTAACATTAAATAGCCCACACACTTTTCAAAAAAGAAAAGAAAAAGTTATTTGTGAGAATTTGGGCTTTCTATCTATCTACCATTAAATGTCTGAATGCCATCTATGCCAATTAATTGGTTATTTTAAAAAGTGAGAAAGAATGTCTACCTCAAAAAGTTTCTAAGGAAATTTTCCACTTTATTAAATGAAATAATGTATTTAAAGCTTATTTAAATACATGTAGCTCTCTGGCACATGGTCGCAGGTAAATAAATTGTTATTACTGTAAGATATTTGACTTATGTTTTATTCTTCACTGAAAGAAAACATTATTTCTGTGGTACAGTCATCTACTTATCTACAACAGCAAAAAATCATTTACAAATAATCTAAAAATCACTTTTTTTCAAAATGGAAATTATAATACTAAAACTCTAATTGATACATAAAATGCATAAGCTAGAAGGTAAAAAGTATACATAGTTTTAACTTCCCTGTCCTACAGTTGGTGGCTCTATGATATAAACACACATAATAAATTATTTATATTATATTCAACTTAGTTCAATAATATGTCTTAGAGATCTTCCAATAGCATTATCTATTACAGAGATTCATCCTTTTTAAAAATGCTGCATAGCATTCTATTATATGGATATTGCATGAAGTTTTGGTTTTCTAATGAAAGTAATCACAAATAATATTATAGTACATTTTGGAAGTAAAACTACATTTTGGAAAATGACTGCCAATTTTAATCAGGTACAGAAATACATATAATATGCTATAACTTGTATACAAGATAGAAAGAAAATAAAAACATTTGTGTTTACCTAAATATGCAGAAAGAAAATGAGGGAGGATACAAAATAAACTAATAAAAATGATTTTCTTTTAGAGTCATACTGGTAACCAGGCATTAAGAGACAGGTGTAAGATTTTTCATTTGTATGCCTTTATAAAACTTCTTAATTTTGAATCATATGATTGTATTACCTACGTAAACAAAGATAACTAAATAACTTAGCCCTTTCTTTTTTCTCTCCATCCAAAATACAAAACATAACAAAACCTCACCAAAACATTACATAAATAGGAAAATTAAAACCACTTTCACAGATTAAATCTCATATAAGAACAAAGCACAATGTACTCTCTGGGAGCTGGAAGTACTGATAGACCAAATACAGTTTGTACACGAATAGATTATATTTAAAATTCTGAAATAGTTCCCTTTTTTCCTACTCTTTTGGTAAAATGTTAAATTTCAATAATAATTTGTCAATCTCTGAAATAGTGAGCAAGAACTATTCCTTAATTATTTCTCTACCATTGCACCCTTCTCCTTCCTTCTTTTCTTCATATAATATACACTAGCTTTTTTCTTCTTTTTTACCCCCTTCCTGCCATTTATACTGGGCATGCAAGGAGAATACAGGCTATCTGTAATATACTGTATATTACAGAATACTGTAATTTGACTAAAATATTTTAAGTGAAGTGTTACTTAAACCTCATATTTCATTTATACTTCGAAAATTTCTTATGATATAATTTCAAGAGCTTCTTATACCAATAAAAAGCTCAAATTATTTCATAACAAGTACAAAAACTATACCTGAACTGAGTTAAAATAATTTTTTCATATGAAATACTCCATCATTTAGAGTTTATGCCTGAGTGTTAAAAATTAAATATAAAACTCAAGATTTTCATTGTATATTGTGACATGTACATGTTAGCATGGGCATAAAAATAAGGTAACTAAAGAAACTGTTAAGCTATATGAAATGTTAAACACATAATAAAATGCCTGTTTACTAAGCAGTTTGAAGTATGGCATAATCTAATAAATAAAATATTCTAATTAGGATATTATTTTCATTTAAAATGAGAATATAATAAGCATACATTATAATGCATTTAATTTAATTTTTGAAATTTGATGATTCAGAAGCAATTTTAAAATCTTATATGAAGATATTCATTATGAATATAAATTTTAACCTGTTACATGGAAATACTAATAATATAAGGAGCATTTGAGATCTTGTTCCCAGGCATATGTCCTCAGTTTGGCTCAAATAAACTCTAATAAAAATTCAAAAGTAGATAAATAAATATGTGGGATTTCTTATCTAAATATCTCAACAAACCATTATTTACTATACATCAATCAATATTATTAGGGATTTGCAAATGTTTTTAAAATTAAATTTTAAAAAAGTTTTACCTTCATGTGATTTTTCAAAGGATCCAAAAGATTGAAATGAATATTGCACTTTGGACAAGCTCTTGGAAAAGGTGTTCCATGTTTAGATTGATTTGATGAGGTATTTGTACCTAAAATAAATTCAAAACATATGGTTCAAAATTCATTTTTTAACCTTAAATAACCACTAATAATTTGTAAATTTACAATTTCTAAAATTTATGTATAAAAACACAATTTCTTGAGATAATCAAGATGGCAGATTAGAGGAACTTAAAAAAAAACTTAATTTCTTTTTCATGTGCCACTTTCGTATTTACCTGTTGATGACATAGCCTGGGGAGACGTCACTGAAAGAGATTTAACTGAAGGAAATACAGATGAGGAATTTGTTCCAGAAATACCTTCACTAGGCTTAGGCTTTTTTGGATTAATACTGTTTACTTCAGAAGTAGAAGGACGTTTTGATAAGAACGAATTTTCATTCATACCTACAATAATTTAAATAGTGGGAAAAATATTTTAAGCACTTTAGAATGTTGTTTACAACTAAGTAAAAATACTTCGCAGCTAAATTACAGATAATATAATTGAATTATATCATACAGATGACAATGATGTTAAAAATTGATATTATCAAGTCAGAGGATGTAGAAAAAGTCTACAAACATCTATTATGGACTACATCTATTCAAATACTTAAAAAACTAATCTTTCTATGCAAGAAAATGCTAAATATGGCTTCAAATAAATATGTAAACAGCTACCATAAAAGAAGACCAAAATATCCCAAGCAAATAAAGTAAAACTGAAAAAATAAAGCACAGACACTACTCTGAACTAAGTTCCGACAAACGAATTATCTCTAGACCGTTAGTGCATTCGAGTAGTTAAAAAAAAAATTATTCTAAAAATTCAGAGAGACCTTTTAGAAGCTTCTTATTTAATAACTTAAAATGTTTAATGGAAAGTTAGTTCTTTTTCCAACTAACAAAGGTGGTCTCCTCATGGATTTAAGATTTGTATTACCCATTTATTCCTATGTACAAAATGGAAACAACTAATCTTGAATGATAGTACCTTATTCATTCATTCATTCATTCATTCATTCATTCATTCATTATGAAAGGGCTCATAATGAACAGAATTAGTATAATGATTTTCAAATTATGTTCCCCAGAGCATTATGGGCTCCTCTTAGGGAATATATTGGGCATGTCTGACAGAGAAACTGTCCTTTTATATTTTATTTACTAGACTGTTGCATAAAATTTTGTTTGTACAGAGATATAATTCCTAAAAAGAGTTATTAATTTGAAAAACCATCACCTTAAAGCTAAAGGATTTTAATCTTATTCACAGCATTAGCAAGAGAAATGGGGAGTTAGGCTATAACCAGGCCAGCCAAAAGTCCTTTTTGAAAATAACACAACTGTACTTGGTAATAAGGATCCTAAACCTGGGCATATTTTAATGCTCCCAACTGTACATTAAAACTAGAACTAATAAAGTTAATATATTAGAAATATAAGTCAGACAGGTTAAGTTCAAATCCAGGCTCTGTCACTGACTAGCTATGCATTCTTGGCTTATTTAATTAACTTCTCTCAGCCTCAGTTTCCCCTTTTGTAAAATAAGAATTATTATACCTTGTTTTACAGAGCTGTTTTAAGATCAAATAAGATAGTGTATTTAAAGCACTCAACACAACATCTGACTCACAAAGTATTTAATAATAGATGACAGCTATTATCATCACTGAAAATATATTTTATATCTTAACTTACTTCAGAGGAAAAAAAAATACTCTAATAGAGTAACCTGTCAGCTTTTTAATAAGGGGAAACATGCCAGAAAAAATAAGAGTATTCATTGTTGGCTTCTCTGTTTCATCCTTTGCGCTAACATAAAAATGATTTTTTTTTCCATCTTCAAAGCACATGATTACTAATGGCTAGCCTATGGTTATTTGGGAAAGATTCTGTGTAATTACAGTAGCATTCTTCTGAGGTGCTCAGGTTACTTGAAAAACCAATGAGTGCCAGTATTTTGGATTAAGCATCTGATGATATAAGGTGTGATAAAAAAACGGTGAATGTTTAAAGTTTAAAAAATTATTACAGTAAAAGACACATTGCCATTAATCCCCGTCAAAATACACCCCCTCGCTTCAAACACATTCATCCCATCATTCTTGCAACTTTCTGAAGCAGTTCTGGAAGTCTTCTTTTGTGAGTGTCTTTAGTTGCGCTGTTGTGGCTGTCTCAATGTCCTGAATCATTTTGACCTTGGGGAAGAGCTAGAAGTTGCATGGTGCCAGATCCAGTAAATAAGGTGGATAAGGATACACCGTAATGCTTTTATTTGATAGAAAATGCCATACCAAAAGTGATGTGTGACACAGACTGTTGTCATGATGGAGGATCAAACCGTTTACCCATTTCATGTCAACGTGTTCTTCATGATCCATGATGTACGGCATTCTTTAAAACATGCCTTCCCTCAACCATAGCTCCCACCAGACTGACTGCACAAAACAAGTTGAAACTTGTCACACACTGTTACTAAGGTTTGATGCGCCACTTCCCATATTGATGATCCCTGCCTTTCCGTTGGATGGCACGGAGCAGCAGCATTCACCGTATTTTGTGATCACAACAGAAAGGTTGTGTGTCACACATTGCTTCTGGTCCTGCAATTTCTGTCAAAAACATTATGGTGTGTCCTCCTTCACCTTATTCAATGGATCTGGCACGGTGTGACTTATGGCTCCTTCCCAAAGTCAAAATGATTCAGGACTTCGAGCCAGCCATGACAGCACAACTCAAGACACTCAGGAAAGATGACTTCCAGAACCGTTTCACTAAGTGGTAAGAACGATGGGATAAGTGTGTTTGAAGCAAGGGGGAGTACTTTGAGGGGGATTAATGGCAATGTGTCTTTTATTGTAATAATTTTTTTAAACATTCACTATATTGTTTGATCACACCTCATATAACAGGCTGGACAATACAAATAAACTGTTTCACTATAAGAATTTTTTAACAAAAATAAAGTCACTCTGCATTTAAGAGTTTTAAATTCTGACCCTTTTGTTTAACTCTGTTGTCTTTGGCTTGTGTTGTTTCCTACACTGGACAGTAAAAATCCTATTTTCATTCAAGATTAAGCTCAAATCTAATCTCCAAACATTTGTGATCATTTGACAGTCATCAGTTAATCATGCTACTGACCATATACCACATTATCATTAATACTAACTGTTGTCAAGTCCTTTAAAGTTCATAATGCATTTTCACATTTTATCTTATTTGGACCTCAAAAAGCCCCAACTAAAGTAGAGCAAGAATTAAAATTATATCTCCAAATGGTTGATTCTAAGTCTGGAGAATGAATGCATTAAATAAGAAAAATAAAATCTTCATTTTAACAATATGATAACACTGAAGTATAAATACTTGGTAAAGACTACAAAAATCTTAAGAATTACAGTTCAAATCTAAATCTTGTAAATCATCCTACTTACCTCTCATGCTCTCTCTGCAGTAGAAAACTTAAGAGACATAGTAGGAGTCACTGTCCTTACTCCAAAACGTTTCAAGAATTCAGACTTTTTCTATGAATAAAGTCCATGTGTTTTGTAAAACCAGACTTAAGACAACTATGTTTCTCCTTGCTTCTTTTGAGTCTTACCTATTTTAAAAACTAGATTTTTACAAGTAGGTGACACCCAAAGAAATGAATTTTAACTAAATATTAGCTAAACAGAAAAACGTTTTAGGCATTAATATTACTATTAAAAAATTAACGGTGAGTTTGCTAAATTCACCACACTGATTTTTTAGAAAATAATCTAAAAATTCCAAAAAATCTTGTGTATCTCTATTTAGTCAAATATTTGAAATATATCAAAATTACAAATATACAAAATATAACTGCCTAGATTATAGGGTATTTTCAATTAGATAAAAGTCTTTCATAGCACACCAATTTATTTTAGGTTAATGAAAAACCTTGTTATAGTACACAACCAAAGAACTTTAACTCTTCAATAGGGAAATTTCATTATTCCTTCACTGGGCATTTTCTGAGTACTGACTATATACAAATTTAATGAAGTCACTTTATAATACCAATCTCTAATCATATTTAACTATCACATGTAAAACATTTATTGAATAAAAAGACACTAAGCCGAATTAAGAAATCAACTACAATCATATGCTTTTTCACACCATTTGGCATAGAAACAAATTAATACTTGTACTTCTTTCAACAGAGTATTTCGGGTATCAGAGAACTTCTCTAACTTACAGAAATTATTTCTCAATTTTTCAAGTCCATGGTTAGTCCAAGAGAGAACAATTTCAAAGTTGGCTGCCTACTTAACAGGGAGAAATAAAATATTCTATTATTAAATTTTATTTAAAATTATCCAAGAAAGGCATTCAAAATTAGAGCCATTCCACCTTATAATATACGAGAATTTTAACACGAAGGCATGGACTTTAAAACAGAAAGTCAATTCCATATGCATAATCACCAAGTTTCTTTTATTAAAATTTTTTGAAATAGTACTAAAACCAACCTGCTATAGAAAGTGTTGGTCCCCGCTGGTAATGTGATAATCCTGTATCCTGGGTCAAGTCAAACAGTAACTGGGAAGAATTACTAGATGCAACTCGTGATGAGTTCATTATATAACCCTGTTAAAATATTCCAAAGGAAGAATATTACATTTATTCAACCTAATTATAATTATTTTGTTTAATCAACTTTTATAATAGTAAATTTAACTATATACAATATTATAAAGATAACTTTTGATGACTCAATTACTAAGTTATAAAACACAAAGGTAATTATTACTATCTGCCAAAATTAGCATCTACTAAACCTGAAAGCAAACTTAAGAGCAGGCTTATTCCTGACTAGCTAATTAAAATGGGGGCCAAATACTAGTCTGATTTTTTCAAGGTGAAAGAAACATATAAACCCATTTTAAATCAATAAGATTGACATACTTTAGACAGCTACTAAAAATTCAGTATTCTCATCAAAGAGCAAATAGAACTTTGCAAAAAAATAAAATAGGAAAACATACTGACATAACTACAAATTTAAAAGCTTCTATAACCCCTATAAATCCTAAAAAATATCAAGGCAAACAAACTCAAAATCAATCTGCCATATTATACATCAGGGTTTGGGATGAATGTATCACATGGTTTGAGTTTTAGGGTCATCTTTATTGGAAAAATATATACGCCAAGGGTCAGGAAGAGAAAGAATGAGTCCCTTCTCTTTCCACCATCCCACAGAAAGCCATGCTGGGCCAGGCAATCTCCCATGTCACAGGGCAAATATGAAAGCTGCCTAGTCAGCAGGGTGAACAAATTAGAAAACCATGCAGACAGGGTTTTCAATGGAATTGTTTATAGGAATGATCAAGGCCAGCTAGGGAAATAAGGGTTCAAGGGAAGTTTCGGCCCTTCAATCCAGATGGTCCCAATGTAGCAAAAAGATCTCAAGAAGAGTGAAAAGTATGAAATGGATCATAATGTGATCAAGCATAAGGTAGTATAAATTTATGTTAGCACACATACATGTTTAGTAGAAATACGAAAAGTATGGTCAGTGTCATTTAGAGATATATACTACAACACTATTAAATGTACTGAGATACACACAAAATATATTCCAACACTATTTATAAAAGACCACTGTTGTGGAGAGTTAAGCTCTCAGAGTGACTTCTGGATCATTCTATATATCATAATATATAACAAGCAAAAGTTTTAAGATTAACAATCCTTAACAATCAATCAAAAGGAGAAAAAGTCCCATTAGGAGAAAATTGGGCAAAGGACATAAACTGAGACACTTCAAAAGCAAAACACAGGGCTGGCCGAATGGCGCATTGGATAAGAGTTGGCTTGGGACGCCAGCTCTGAGCAGTAGGGCCTCGGTTTGGATCCCACATTAGGGCCACTGACGCTGCACCCTCTACAGCAAAAATGGTGAACAACAGCTCGACCTGGAGTTGGGCTGCCGTGAGTCACCGGCTACAGTGAAGCTGCAGTGGGCTGCCATGAGTACCGTTGAGTGCTGGCAGCCAGTGTGAGCTGCCAAGAGCTGCCATCCAGTGGATGGCGACCTATCTGCCTCACCGGGGAAGAGCACAATTATAATACCAACATGGGCCAGTGAAGCGATGTCCTCCACAACTAGAATGAAGAACAAAAGGACAGCAACTTGTCTGTTCCCCTCCTCCAATTCCCCAATAAAATCTTAAAAAAGAAAAATACAAATGGCTAATATATACAAAAAACTTTTTTCCAAGTTACTAGTCAAAGAAATGCAAATAAAGACAATGGCAATTTTTAACTACTGAATTGGCATTGTTTTCAAGATAATATCTAAAACAAAATAACTGGCCACTCCTCTTAAAAATATCAAGGTCATGAAAGACAAAGAATGAGTAACTGTAGAAAACTATGAGACTAAGAAGAAATAATTACCTGCAAGGTGTGATCCTGAATAGGATCTTGGGAATGAAAAATGACATTAATGGAAAAACTGGTAAAATTCGAATAAGGTCTGCAGTTCAGTTAATGTTAACTATCTGATTATGATTAAGTTAGATGTTAGCATTTAGGGGAAACTGAGTTAGGGAGTATATGGAACTCTTTGTATTATTTTTCCTGCAAGTCTAAACTTAGTTTGAAATAAAGTTAGAATCCAATGACATTCCCAGTAGAATGTACAGTGAAAAAAGTGGAATGTGCATCTGTGTACAGAGTACAGTCCTGATTAGATATACTCTATACCACCTACAGGGGGGGGGGAAAAATCTATTATGTATTCTTCTCCATCTCTTTCTAAACTTCCCCCCAAGATACTTATTATTTTAAGACACAAACATAAAGGTTCTGTTTGTTTTGTGCTTATAAATAGAGGGATAATTAACTTTTAAAAATTTTGGTTTGCTACTCACTTTATATTGACATGGGTATGTTAAGCAAGTATGAAAACAAATGGGTGAAAGGAATCAAAAGTACAAACTTCCACTTATAAAATAAGTAAGTCATGGAGATCTAACATACAACATGGTGATTATAGTTAATAATACTGTATTGTATATATACACGAAAATTGCTAAGACAAATCTCAACATTTCTCATCAAAATTTCTCAAAGAAATTCTGTATGTATGGTGACAGACATTAACTAGACTTATATTGTGGTAAGTCTAATTAAAATGGGGGCCAAATTGTATATATACAAATATCAAATTATTATGTTGTACACCTAAAACATAATATTGTATGCCAACTATACCTCAAAAAAAACACAAACAGTTAAAAGAGAAAGAGATGAGACTTCTTTACCATACCCTGCACAAATTGCAGATTTTGTGACTAAATGATTGTTGTTGTTTATAAGAAAAAAAGAAGTTATGGAAACAGGTTTTGAAGTAACCCAAACCACTCCTAGTATTTGAGGCCTAACAGGAAGACACCTGCATTTGAGTCTTAATGTGTAGTATTAAAAAAAAATCAGTATTGTCATATGACTTAATTGTAACCAAGCACAATCTTACTTCAAATAATTATTTTCTCCAAATATGTGCACTTCAAAAAAATGGAAAATTATATTCACTTGCATTTTCCAAAATAGTTCTTTAAGAGAAATGTAACGTTAATACTGATAAACACTTTCCTAGAAAATAACTGGTTAATTAAGCACCACAATTTCAGAGACCAGATACATGTTATTCAACAATAACCAGTTAAAATAATTCTGCAACAGGGAATTATAACATCTCATAAAAAAGTTCAGAAAGATATCAAATACAATACAGTAAGGATAGAATAAGATGCTAGACTGGATTCAGAAGATCTGCACATTTATTTAACTATGTAACTTTAGGTAAGTCACTTCCTAGCTTCAAGTTATTCACCTCTGAAACTTAAATGTTCTTGCATGTTAAATGCACTTATACTTCACAGTGTATGTATGTTTCAAATGTACTTGTACTTCATGGTACATGTATGTATTAAATCAACTAGTTGTCACAACAGAACTAACGAAGACCAAATATTATATACCCTATTTATAAATAGATAAACTAAGATTAGCTATGATTATGTATGCTTTCCAATACAGCCCCACTTCTGATTGATGGAGCTGTATTTAGAACCCAGACCTGTTTGATTACAAAGCCCATGCCCTTATGGCAGCGGTTCTCAACCTGTGGGTCGTGACCCCTTTGGGGGTCGAATGACCCTTTCACAGGGGTCACCTAAGACCATCGGAAAACAAAAAGATACTTACATTACGATTCATAACAGTATCAAAATTACAGTTATAGAGTAGCAACGAAAATAATATTATGGTTGGGGGTCACCACAACATGAGGAATTGTATTAAGGGGTCGCAGCATTAGGAAGGTTGAGAACCGCTGCCTTATGGTATATCACACTGACTTTACAAGTGGCAACATATCCCTGCCACCTGAGAGAGACCTGAAAAGAGATGTTGAAATATACAGATATTCCATGAAAAAGTAAACACACACACAGACACACACAAACATGATATACAATGAAACACTGATTATAATTTATTAAAAGCAATGGCTTCTGAAATTTAGAGTAAAGTCCCTTAAATCGGATTCTCAATTCATTCCAGAATACACCTGTCATTCTTAACTTTTGCTCATTAGAATCACTTGGGAGAGATTTTTTTTAATGTATCATGTCAAGACTCACCCAGACCTTTTGGCAAAATCTCTTTTTAATACTCAAGATTGGGAACCACCAACTGAGGTGCTTTGACTTAAAAATTATGCCCACAGAAATAAAACATTCTAATTTAGAAAGCTCCACCAAAGATACCATCCCTCACTTTATTTTTTCTTCCTGAGACCGATGTTGGAAATATTTTCTCTATCAAACTGAATTAAAGTTTTTTTCTGTTTTTCTATCCTCCAAATGCCAAATGGCTTATGATAAGCATTAAAAAACCACTAACTTAATTTGAGCCCAGCTAATAGCAAAAAATCTTTGTATTTTGGGTAGCTTTCCATCTTCTGAAACATCATAATAGCTTGTGGAACCCTAGAATCCACGATTTAGAGTCAGCGGTCTACGTAAAATCTCTCATTTTAGAAATGAAGAAAATGAAGCTCAGAAAGGTTTTGACAAATGGTGAAGAACAAGGCAGAATCAGCATTCTAGTCTCTTGCTTTAATGTAAGTTTTTTAAACTACTAGTCCTGGGCTCATATCAATATTAACCATATTTCAGAATGCTGAAACCACAGAAAAGAATATGGGGTAAGGATGTATTTTCCCAAAGATATTCTTATTTTTTTATGATATATTACACCTTTAAAATACAAGTGGGAAGGCCGGTTGAGTGGCTCAATTGGTTAAGAGCTCACTCAAGAGTCTGAGCTCTGAGCAACAGCGGTTCGATTCCCAGCCCAAGCTGAGCTACGGTTGAGCTGCCAACAGGTGGCAGGGTGGCTCAGCTAAAAAAAAAAAAAAATACATATATAAGAGGGAGTTCAGTATACCTAGACATAGATTTTAAAAGCTATAGCTTTCCTTTTCATTTTTATGTAAACTACAATTAAATATACTACCATCTATGAAAGATACCACCTCAAAATATCAATTTTTAGTGTTAACAGATAGGTAGATTACATTATAGTTAATATATGAAATATAGAAAAAAATGGATTATTCGTATTAAAAATATTGGGTTGTTGGAAAAGTCATGACTCATTTTTGCAACAAAAAACAAAGAAAAAATACGTCATGACTTTTCCAAGAACCCAATATTTGGATTCAATTCTGGTATTAAACTTGATTACTTGCCAAGAAAATTTATAGGTGCTTAAGTAGTTGTTTCTCTTATTGTCAAAAGAAGTTTAAGGAAAATTTACTACTTCTCTAAGACCACTGTCAAATAGCTTATAATAAGAATGAAAACACCACTAAGTTAACTCAATTCCAACTAGTAGCAAAGAATCATTACATCTTGGGTAACTTTTTCTTTTAATACTCTTAACTCTGTGGTTTCAACACCTCCTTTACACATTTCAAAATTAATGAAGACCCAAAGATTTTATTTAGATGGTTATATCTATTAATATTTACCATATTCGAAATTAAACAGAAATTTTAAAAAATATTTATTAATTTTATTTTAAATAATAATAAAGCCAATACAGATTAACATACATAACATTTTTATGAAAAAGGAGTATCTTGCAAAGACAAAAAATTAGTGAAAAGAGTAGCATTGTTTCACATTTCTGCAAATCTCTTTAATTAATCAAAAACTACCGTAATCTCATATCTGCTTCTGCTTTCAATTTGTTGGAACATGTTGTTAATTGAAAAACATAAAGAAAATCTGGCTTCATAAAGATATATAGTTGAAAAAGGGAATATTTTAATAGCATTTTGGGATAACTGTGGCTACACTTCTTTGAGGAAGCTTTTTAGCCATGTTGGGAAGACCCACCTGGCAAGGAGCCAGCCAGAAGCCAGAAAAATACTGACTCTCAGTATGGCAGCCCTTAAGGAATCGAATGCTGCCAATAACCATGAGAACTTGGAAGGAAATACTTCCCCAGCTGAGCTTCAGATGAGACTGCAACCTCAGAGCCCAAATCTTGAAGGTAGCCTTGTGAGATCTTGAAGCAGAGGATCCAGCTAAGCCATGACCTGACTCCTGACCCACAAAACTGTGAGATAAGAAATGTGTGTGGTTTTAAACCACAAGTTTGTGGTAACGTCAATACACAGAAATTAATACATCATGGTTTGTCAGTCATTTATTTTTCAAGTAAAAATAATCTTCTATTTTTAAAAAGTGGGTAGTCTAGCTCACAATTCAATCACACAAGCTTTTCCTCAGGATAACCATCATACTTCATACACAGAAGTGCTTTATGCATACTACCCATTTCATCACACAAAATGTTTTGAAAGATTCATATTCAAGAGTAGAGAGCTAAAAAAATTAATAACATTTTAATACTTCATCAAGGAAATTGAGTATGACTGTAATATTTTTTATTTTGAATGCTGGTGGCGATTCATACAAAAACTACTAGAACAGCTTGGTACCACTGTCTTGGTTCATACTAAGGCACCAGCAGTTTACCCACCATTGCTTTTGCATCACACTGGTGGCAAATGTCAACATGATGGTAAAAATGGCAAATAGTTTCTTTGTAGTATTATGACAATAGCATTGACTCCCAAACCCATGAAAGAGTCTCAGGGGAACCCCAGAGGACTGAAAACTACACTTTGAGAACTCTCACACTGAGGCAATGCTTCCATTTTTTTTTAAAGTATACATTTATACACAACATATATGTATGTATGTATGAAAGTATGTATGTATGCAAATACACATGAACTATGGGTAAGACTGGATTGAAATCCCAAATCTATCATTTGCCAACTATGTGACCCTGGGTGAATTATTTAACCTCTGTGAACCTCAGTTTCCTCAACTAATAAGACAGAGATAATAATAGTGCCTACTTCATAGGGATGTTTAAGAATTAATTTATGTACAGCATTTAGTAGAAAGCTTTACACATTAACAGTTCAATAAATATTAACTATTACCAGTAACTATTACTTTTTATTAAGAATGTTTTATACAAACTAAACTATGAAGGTATGTCTTCAGAATAAAAAGCTACAATAGCCTCTCAACAATTTTTCCAGTTAAAAAGTAAGAACACTTGGCCCAGTTTACAACCTTAAATAGTATGCCATTATGCAAAATTCATTACTGACTATACTTTTATTCATGTTTTGACACAACAGTTTTTAATACTGTACCTATTTAAGCATATTACCTGATTTAGGAACAGGTTGGGTAGTTAGTTCTTGCAGTTATTATTTTGGGTACTGGTTGAGCTAACATAAAGACGGTAACACTTTCTTATGCTGATTATGCTTCTATTAGATGACTACCCATGATAGTCCAGATTTTTAACTGGGTATTGTTGATACTGATAAGTAATATCCAATATATCCCTGAGCTGACCGTGTGGTTTCAGAAACACTTACAGGTTTAGACAAAGGCTGAACAATAAGAGAACTATCTGAAGATCTAGATTCAGGATGAAAATTTACTGGCGAGGCAACCACTGGATTTGATGTTGGGTTCTTGTAGTGTTGACTTGTAGGCTTGAATGCAGCAGTAATACCTGTATTTCAAAATTACACAATATATTGAATATATTTCTATATAATCAATGGTATCAAACTATTTCACTTTAAAATTAAAATAATAAAATAACGCTGTACCTCGACTGAGTGCGCCATTCTTTAGTCCCCTTGAATATGAGCTGGGGTTCACTCTATTCAAAATATCTATAAAAAATATTTATTTTAAAATTCATTGTTTGAATAAAATATATATTAAAATGATAGAAATCATGAATTGAAAATAATTAGATTCCTGGAAGAAGTATATAAAATATCACTGATTTAAGACTACAGTTAATTTTAAACATATATATTTTTATCTAATAAAGATAAAGATTATCAGTCTTAATTGTTTCATAGAATTAGAACAACCTTTCTAACTATAACTCAAAATCCAAAAGCCAGAAGTAAAAGATTGATAAATCCAACTACATAGAAGTCAAATCTTCTGCATGGCAAAGAAACACTTCAAATAACTAGTAAAAATTTTCCAAAAATACATTCATATTCAACCTATAATTGAAGTATATATCTTTCTTTGAGTGATACAGCTGTATATACACTCAGTTCCTATTAACTCAAAATTAAACCCTTGTCCAAACTCCATATCCCACTCACACCCCTAAAAGCCTTGAAGTGTCCTTATGAGGAATCTCACTAGATTATTTGCACATTACTCTTGAGTTCTGAAAGGGAAACTATCAGAGACTGCAGACTAATATGAACTTACAGTTTACCAGAGTATCTTATAACCTAAGGGATTTCAAATCTATCTCTATACCAGAAGTCAAATTCTTGCATGCATGTGAACTTGTAACTTCCAGGTAACTCAATAATCAAACTAAAATTTGGAAGAGTGGGGATTCGCCTAAAATTGTCGATTAGAAAAAGGTAAAAGTACAAACACACACCAAACATCATTAAAATTTTCTTTTCTTCCCTCATAGTAGAACAGAACTAGTTCACATAAAACAAGTTTGTAAAGGCCACACAAAAGTAGTGCTGTTTCCTGATAACGGAGATGCAGTGCTCTATACCTAAGCACTACAGATGTCTTATAGAAGAAAAATCTGTTCCCATACCTTAACACCATTTTTATTCAGAAACTAAAGATTAAGTATTTACCCAAACCATCAAGGAACTATTGCTAAAGTGCTTTCTGGTGGTTATATTCTATAAAACACAAGATTTTACCCACCTTTCTGGTAGATCTAATAAACACTCAACCCATATTCTATATGTTAAAATATTTTATGGCTTACACATAGTCAACCATAAAATAATTTAAATTCTGCATCTTAACAATTCAGAAAAGAAATTGTATTGGGGTCATTCTCTGTTTTGACAGAATTATTTTAAAACTAATATACATTTTTCTAGTTAAATACTGTTAAGTCATCTATAATCAGTATAAATTCAACTTGAATCTTAACTGTCATGTTTTCAATAAGAGAATTTCAATAATAACTTTGCAATATAATATTCCAGTATAAAATAATCACAATGACTAGAAGCAATAACTAAGTGAATATATAATTATGTTCCACTATCATCAACAAGCATCATTCAATTTATAATCAAAGTGACACTCCACTTAGAATCTCCATGAGAGATTATCAATTTGTCACAGGAACTGGTATAAAGAATTCAATTGGTTAAGTCTTTCTCCCTTTGATAAAACTGAATCCAAGTGCCATTACAAGTTTACAGGTAGTAGAAGAACGAACCAGGCTTTCAGAAAATTCAAAATTAGTCTCTTACACTTTTAAGCACTTCCTTGGTAAAAAAACCTAAAATTTATACATTATTTCTCTGCACTTCTATATATTTTTGGGCAGCATTTTAAAGGGCGTCATTGGTCTTTGCTTCAACATTGTAACAATAACAAATCCAGTTACTCTAACTGAAATCTAAAAATCCCCAAAAGTATCAAGGTGTTCTGCTAGAAAGCCATAAAGATTTAAGTTTTAACTAACTGTGTATCCAAGCACAGTGGCTGTAGACAGTGCCCTTCTCTTTCATGAATATAAATTCAAGATGCTGAAAAACGGGTGTGGTCAGAAGTCCCAGGTGGCATACAGGCCAGCAATTGTACATTCATTCATTGCCTATACATTTTGTAGCTATGTGCAAATGACACTGCAATGAAGCAGCTGCCTGGATGTGAGAACCTCTATCTGAGAATCACACAAACTTATTTAGTATATCCTAACATTTTAAGCAAAGTATTCTAAATCCTTTTGTTTCTCTACTTCTAAATTTAAGTTTAAAAAAAATGAGATAAATTAACAAATAGGTTAGTTGGCTCCAATAAAAATTTTGATTTCCAATACCAACAAAAGACTTTCAATGTCACCAGCTAACCTTCGTCCATTTCTTTTTTCTCGGATCTGATATTTCAACCTCTTACCTCCTTCCTCAGGTCCCCAATCACATCCCCACCCTGTTTCTGAAATTCTTACTTTATCTCTCACCCAATCTTTCATCCTCAACTCCTTACAGAGGAACAAGGACATAAGTACCTACAAACAGTGCATAACTGTTTCCATTAGAAACAATATCTTATAAAACTTAGCTTCACTAAAAGTAAATGCTTACTTGAAATTGCTGGTTTTGAACTTGATATCTCTCCAACAAAGATCGGCTCATCATCATCATCATCCTCAACCTCTTTTACTTTCTTCTGCCATGGTTCCAACTCTTCTTCTTCACATTCCATAAAGAGTTCTGCCATTTTTGAATTATCTAATTTTCAAAAGGAAAGCAAACCTCACTGTCAAAAAGAAAAATACATTTTTGTAATATGTAGAATAATATTTAAGATCTACTTTAACAATCCTAATAGCAATTTCTGAATTGATATTTGTAGTTAGTACATGGTAGCAACAGTGAGAAGAAACTCAGAGCTCAGTCTCTAAGGTAGAGATGACAGATAACTACAGAGAGAAGAAAGAGGGAGAAGAAGATAATGGTTGACAATTACACTGGACAGAAAATTTGGGAACAGTCAAAGTGAGTTTCAGTCATATGACTGGAACATGATTATACCTACAAAAAGGATTGCACCTAACCTAACATTATCTGTAAAAATAAATACATAAATAAATGAATTAACAAAAGAGAGAGAAATTAAGAATAAGAGGCAATAAGTGGGAGACATACTAGAAAATCTGAACCAAATTCAGGAATGCCAGGCACAGAGCAAAGCAATGATGTGTTATTAGACTAAAATAAGGAAACAAAATAAGGCTATTCCATTCAGGGCAAATTAGACATTTCTCACCTAAAGATACAGACCAAAGAATATGCAGTAAATATCACCATCCTAGATGTTCTGACCAAACACAGAGCTCTTAGAAAGCATTTTCATGCTTTGCTCTTAAATATGGATCGATAACCAATAAGTACCAGAAATTTTAAGAAAACCTCCTGTCTTTCAGACCAAAATCAATAAAACACATACAAGAATCATAAGGAAAAGAGGTGATACAGAGAGCTAAAAAAATATAATTAGCATCTTTAGAGATATGACAAGAAAGAATGTTATAAAAATACTCTGAAAACAAAAAATAGGATTAAAAGTATTATAGCCTGAATTTCTCAACTCAGTTTTTAAAAACTTAAATGTCCACAGAGGTGGAGCTGAGGGGAAAAAAAAAAAAACACACATATATATATATATATATATATATACACACACACACACACACACACACACACACACACACACACACACACAAAACAGAGAAGACACAAAGTTGTTAGAAATTCAATTTCAGAGGTACAACACTCACCCAACAGAGAAAAAGTAGGGCGTAAGTAATCAAAGAAATAATGTCAGAAAATTCAGTAGATTAGAAGACATAAATCTCTGTGTGGAAAGGCCCCAACGGTACCCACAACAATGATCAAGAAAAAAGTTAGGGCCGGCCGAGTGGCGCAAAGGTTAAGAGCTGGCTTGGGACGCCACAGGACCCCGGTTCAGATCCCACATATGAGGGCCAGTGACACTGCCCTCTACAGCTAAGATGCTGAACAACAGCTCAACCTGGAGCTGGGTTGCCGTGTAGGCTGCAGCCCCTGTGGCAGTGGGTTGCCATGGGCTACCGTATGTAGCCAGCAGCCAGCGTGAGCGGCCAGCAGACACAGTGAGCGGCCGTCCAGAAGCCGGCAACTGATCTGCCTTGCCTGGGAAGAGCGCAATGATGGTGCCAACTTGGGCCAGTGAAGCAACGCCCTCCACAACTAGACTGAAGAACAAAAGGACAGCAACTTGTCTGTTCCCCTTCCTCCAATTCCGCAGCGCTGTTCCCATATCCCCAATTCCCCAATAAAAAAAAAATCTTAAAAAAAAAAAAAGAAGAAGAAAGTTATATCAAGACATAAGATTATGAAATTTCAGAGCAAAAGAGTTAAAGGGAATAGCCTCAGATCTGTGGGGATGGGGCAGCAAAAACAGATCATATACAAAAGATCAAGAATAGTAGGAACAGCAGCTAGAAGACAGTAGAATAATACTTTTAAAATACTTACCAAAATTAGTTTTTAATCTAGAATTCTATACCTAAACTTTTCATCAAGTACAAGAGTAAAGACTAGCAACATCACACAAAATAGTCACTGTATCCTTATCAGGAAGCTATTATAGAATCCAGCAAAACATGAGTCTTGATCAAGAAAGAAGAAAACAAAGATGTAGGAAACATGGCATTCAACACAAAGGCCCAGGACAACAGAAGGAAGTTCAGTAGGCCTAGCTAACAACCAGTCCAAGGCTAGATCAAGAGAACTGTACTTAAGGGGGAGTATCTCTGGGAAACCAAAGAAAAGATGATTAAAATGTAAACTTTCAGATCACCTGCCACCTGCCGAATTTCAATGTATAGAATATTGAATTGAGAGGTTCCTGAAGGATATGGGAAGACTTCACTACATCTTTTAAGAAAAGTTAGCAAATTAAAAAACGTGAAAAGTATTAATTACTGGATAAACCAAAAGAAAGAAAGAAAGAAAAGTAAAGATATGTATCCCCTCCATATGGTATTCTATATAAATAGCATATTACTATGCTAACCAGAGAACACTATTTATTATGGTCATCATAATGAAAATATCAAATATGAATTTAACCCAAAACTGAGATATTATGAGATATGTGGAAGGAAGGATGGGGTAGTTGTAAGAAAGCAAAAATCGTCATGACAGAACATTACCAGAAAATAATTAAAACATGCAACAGACAGCACACATACATATGCATACATGCGCTCTTCAAGAACTATGGTTAAGCCGTTTGAAGACTTTTCAGATTGTTTGACTTTTTAAACTATGTGCATATATTAAGCTGAGATGGGGGAGAAGAATAAAGAGGAGGAGGAGGAGGAAGAGAAGAAATAATGCTGAGGGCCTAAATTAAGTAATAGCAACGGAGATGGACGCAAGTGGTGTTTAATCAGGTATATTATAGAATGAGACAACAGAAGACTAAAAAAGGAAAAAGAAACTGCAAGGGTTCCAGCTTAGACAATATTTCTAATATATCTTTTAAATGTCATTTCTAAAGTTAACTTATTATTATATTAAAGTAATGCCACTTCTATTTTTTACTCAAAATTAAGACAATGTTCTACTATGGTCTTAAAAGATACTAATTGAAACAATGCTTTGGGGATGGGGTACAAAGGAAACACTTTATCAAATTAGGTGCCAATCTTTTATAAACTTTTTAAAATTTTCCCTTCTATAAAACTACATATGTCACAAATTATTTCTTGACTTGACATTATTTAAATGTTTAGCAGTCCACCTAACAAAAAAAAAGGCCTCATTTTCCCAAATGTCATGAATCTAATGAACTGATCCCTTTCTTTTCTAAACTATACTGTTTTACTAATTATATACAATTCTTCAAGTCAAACGATTAAAAATATTATGTCCAAGGCCAAACTGAGCATCTTGAGAGTATATTTCCTTTACATAGGCAATGGGCACATAATATATAATAATCTATGGACAAGGAAACTAAGCAAAGTCAGGCAATGCCTAATTTTTAAAAGAATTAGAAAAGCACATACTAATAGTAAAAGTATCATTTATTTCCAATAGGCATATGTTACAGGCTGAACTGTGTTTCTCTAAAATTCATGTGTCGATGTCCTCAATGCCACTACCTCACAATGTGACTATATTTGGAGACAGGGTCTTTAATGAAGTAATTAAGTAAAAATGAGGTTACCAGGGTGAGCAGTAATCCAATATGACTGGTGTCTTTAAAAGAAGAGGAAATCAATACACAGATATATGCACGGAGGCAAGACCATCTGAACACATAGGAAGCAGATGGGCACCTGTAAGAAGAGAGGCCTGGGACAGATCCTTCTTTCATGGCTCTCAACAGGAACCAACCCTACCAACACCTTGATCTTCTAGCCTCCAGCACTGTGAGAAAATAAATTTCTGTTGTTTAAGCTGTCCAGGATTTGGTACTTTTTTATGGCAGCCCTAGCAAACTAATACAGAAGACAAAGAAAGGTCTTTCTCATTCATTTTAACAGGGCACTGCCACTGTCAGTATAGTAGTCCTTCCTTATCCCTGGGATAAGGAACACAAGATCCCCAGTGGATGCCTGAAACTGAGGACAGTACTAAACCCTATATATACTATGCTTTTTCCTATACATATTTACCTATGATAAAGTTTAACTTATAAAATAGGCACAGTTAGAGATTAACAACAATAACTAATAATAAAATAGAACAATTATAACAATATACTATAATAAAAGTTATGTGAATGTGGTCTGTATCTCTCTAAAAATATCATATTGTACTGCACTCACCCTTCTTATGATGTGAGATGATACAATGCCTACATAATGAGATGAAGTGAGGTGAATGACGTAGGCACTGTGACATAGCATTAGGCTACTTATAAGGGTTACTTGAACACAAGCACTGCGATATCTCAACAGTTGATCTGATAACTGAGAAGGCTACTTAAGTGACTAACAGATAGGTAGCGTTATGCAGCGTGGATACGCTGGACAAAGGGTTGACTCTTGTACAGGGCAGGATGGAGATGGAAGCAAGATTTCATCACGCTACTCAAAAAGGCATACAATTTAAAACTTGTGAATTATTTTTGGAATTTTCTACTTAATATTTTCAGACAGCAGTTGACTGCAGGCTGAAGCCACAGAAAGTGAAACCTCAGATTAGTTGGGGCCTACTGTATATACAGGATATATTGTTGGAAACAAATTTTTTTAAGACCTGTAGTAGCTTTATGATTTTTTTTAGAATTTTTTTTTTCTCAATGCATAGAAGAAACATGTGACTATGTACACCAAACTGATAATAGTAGTTTTCACTGGGCATCAGGAGAAAGTACTTCATTTCTACTTTACTCACTTTTTAATTTCCATTATTTTTATGTGAGCATTTGTTACTTTAACAATTCTAAGTATTTTTATCTTTAAGGAAATGTGCCTACCTCTTGTCGTTTGCCCTGAAGCAAAGTTATTAATACATAAGCCACATACACCAGTTGTGGCAGCAACACTTACTTTTTGGCTGTAAAGGGTTGTCGCCCATCAAGTTGCAGAGTTGACTTTCTGTAAATTGTCACCTAAGTACTGACATATGATATCAGTAAATTTTATGAGTCACTTTATGTAATGCCAAATGTTGAAACATGAAACTTGAGATTCAGAAATTCTTGGACCTAATTTTGATCTTCAAACTCACCATGTAATTCCAGACAATGCAGCAAGTTATATCTCACTTTTCCTTCCTATAAAATAAAAATATCTAGTATTAGAGTGAATTTCAGTAAATTAAATGTACACATATTTCATCTTTTTTCCTGTAAGAAGCTCAGTTTTTAAGTCTGATGTTTGACATATACTATATATAATTCATTCTATAATTGGTTCATTCCTGAATGAACTCAAATTTAGTAAGTAAAATGGTGATTCCATTAAGCACTTACTACTTGAATAATTCTGAGTTATTAAATTATAAATAATTGTTTAAAAGCATCCTTTTGCAAAAATGAGTAATTACCTCATAATGTATTCTTTAAGTGAATTTTCAAATGCTAAGTGATATTAACCTTTTACTGTTACCTATTCTTCATATTTCAGATATAAATGAAATTATTTCAATAAGAACAAATAATTTTAAATAAACTTCAGCTTATATTTTTCTGGTTTTTATCAATTAACTTAAAAGGAAAAGGAAATTAGTTGGATATATTTCATCACAGATTAATTCATTCAAAAATAACTACTCGTTGCCTTCTATGCAAGATAATATGCTATGTTCTAGGAAAAAACAAAGATGAGTAAGTATAGTCCTTGCCTTCAGAAATTTATAGTCTAGTATGTCTATAATTATTTGGGCTTGAAAAAACAAATACTGTTAGAATAAACATTATTTAAAAACACATTTGAATTGATTTATTTTAAACAAGAATTCTTTTTCTGGATTCCCATACACAACAGCACAAATTTTACAAAATATACAAATTTTTGTAAAACTGTGTTAGTTATAAAGCAAAAAAGTTCAAAAATTAGATGGTAGAAATCTAAAATATGGAGATATACATCTAATTCAGCCTTCACATTCCTCTTTATCCTTGGCTGACAAAAGCAAGTTTTCCTGCTTTTTAATTTCCAAGGTAATTGGTCTAAACTGAAACAGTTCACAAGGGAAAAACATTATTTTAACTTCAGAAATAATTACTATAACTATTTAAACTACTATCACAAAAGAGTCTAGTGAATCTTGTGTTTAACTGAATTTACCAAGTTCTGAGGTCTGGCTATTTAAATCTCATAACTCTTATTTAAATAATTGTACCTTGTTCCTAAACTAAAATCAGCGTTATGTATATGTCAAGTAGATAAATACATGACAATTCTTGCTCAGCTTTAAAGACCTACTAGTACTAAGAATACAGAATATTTTTGAAGAGCCACAATTACATAGCTTATGAGACTCATCGTATATTTTTTTTAAATGATCTAAATATCTCTTAGCAAAACTCAAAAATTAATATCCAATTTGCAAATATTCAATTAGTAAGCGATCTGTCTATATGAACAAGTTATCCGCTGCCTATGACTACAGAGATAACTTTTAGATAATCTACTTCAAAAGCCTTAGGACCATAGTAGCTATTTAGGGACCAAAACTGATACACTTGCAAACATACTGAAAAGTCAGAAATCCTCAGATGCAATTAGAACCATTAATTTCAGCCTAAAGTTGCACTGTGTAAACAGTAGCTACTAGCCACATGTTAACTAAGTTTAAATTAATTAAATAAAATTTAAAATTCAGTTTCACTAGCCACATTTCAAATGTTCAAAGCTAAATGTGGCTTGTAGCTAATTATTGGACAATGCAGGTACAGAATATTTCTACTAGACAACGCTGTATAAAGAATCACTGCCATATTTCATTTCGGTTAATGAATTCATGGATTCCTTTGGCATCTCAGCCACTGGAGATGCCAATACTATCACCATAAAAAATCCTCAAAAGTCACTTCACAATTTTGGTGGGAAGGCATAGGATTCTATAAAGGATTACACCAGCTACCATTTGAAGCGGGGATCTAGCCAAGTGGGGGTCTCAAAGCTCCAAGAGATCTCCGGCTTTTGCAGTTCAGAGTTGGCTCCAAAATAACCAGGAAAAAGAGGACACTACTTCAGATACTGATTCAGGTAGAAATTTCATGCCATGTTTAATACTTCTGTTTCTATGGAAAAAAAATAATAATTCCAAGGAACTGACTTATCAAAGATGTTCATTCATTTTTGGAGACTGCTAACATAAATAATTACAATTCCTATTTTATTATTTTTTGTTTCAGCTTTTATACATCTAACATTAAATAATATCTTAAATTTTTTCTATAAAATTTTTTTTAAATCAATGGAAATGTGGGTCTAAATTTTTAATTGTTTGAAAAATTTATTTTTATCCATTGACAGATATCACCTGATGCAATGTCACTGTGTTAAATAATAAAGGTAATGTATCTGATCTAGTACACAGCACATACTATAGCATAGGTGGCCTAGGTGCCAGATGTAGTCCTATTTACTCTCTTATAAGGGAAAAGATTAAGCAATTCCACAAACCATAACTACAGAGTCTGCACATAAAAAAAGAGCACTATGCTAGTGGCCAGAAGAAACAAGTCATAGCCCTAGCACTGCCGCAACTTTCAGTCAAGCCACCTTACAATTCTGGGTCTAAGCTCTTAGTTCAACTGAATGATCTCTAAAGTTTGAATTCAGCTCCATACTTTATACTTTACTGTATACTGTATATTTTAAACATTTATTAACCATAAACAGTAAAATGTGGTGAAGAATTAATGTCAGATTCAAGTTCTGACTTAACCACTTATTAGCTGTATGACCTTGGGCAAGTTAGTTAATCTCTGTGCCTTGCTTTATTATACGTATCTTATATCATAGATTTATAATGAAGATTAAACGAGATAAAAACATAAAGCATATAGTTCAGTGCCTGGCACACAGAAATCACTCAATAAACCATAACCATTGTTAACTCTGGGCTAAATCCCATTTTAAAGAACTTAAGAACAGATCACAATTTTGTTATTATAATGGAATTTACAAGCTATCAGCTAAGCATTTAGAAATTATTTTATTATATTAAAATCTTGATTACAGTCATATTTCTCATGATGAAATTTTAGCTTTGCATGTGTTCTGGAATGTGGCTGTCAAATCTATCCTGCCATATTTTCATCTTTTTAAAAAAGCATTTATAAACTAGATTTAAAAAGTAACAAAAAATTTTAAACTTTCATATAAACATAACACACACCTACAATTTATCAAGTTAAATTATATAGTACTAATCGCAAAAAATAAAACATCTAATTCATCTCATTCAAAACTACCAACATATAGAAATTAACATTTGGATAAAGTGTCTTATATCATTTTCATTAAAAAAAAATCATTCTACATACATTCCTGTATTTTAATTTCTAAAAAAAAAAATCCTTTTTAAAAATGAGTAGGTAGTAAGTAGAATACAAAAGTGAATGTGAGGAATATGGAGAATGGTTAACTTCTTCATCTCCCCATACCCCAAAAGTTAGTTATTCAGTGAAATAATCCAAGAAACCACATTACAAAATTAACCTTTGTTTTTATTCTTCAACATAAAAATATTTTAATCAGGGGTTGCACTCCTAACCAAGAAGTTGGCAACACCAAAACCAGATATGATTAACTTAACATAAAAGGTAAAATATAAAATTAGAAATTAATATAATCATTTCAAATAGTGAAACTTTATATTCAATGTAAGTATAGTATATGAAAATAAAGCTCAACTAACTCATAGTCTAAGATTAACATGTTAGCTGTAAGAAACATTAAACTTTTAACAATTTTGCTTATATACTTGGAAAAGTTTTTTCAGTGGAATGATTTGGATGACACGGTCATTGAAATATTGTTCAGAAAAGTCTGATCTGTTATTTTTTTCCTCTCACAAATTTCCCAAAAAATTAGGCATTCATATCATTTCACTATGATTAAAGCTTTGGTTTATGTTCTGTTTCATTTTATAAACAATTCTTTAGTCTTTGTCACTAGTGACATATTTAAATGGAGGACTATAATTTTAGAATTCTAACACCAAATGAATAGAGCTTTAAAGAGTCAAAGTGGGTTCTCAACTATGAGTAACAATCTATTATTTCCATCCCTGGTTTTGTGATCTCAAGAATTTCTAACTATCTCAAGAAGATATCAGAAAATTAATTTTTATTTAATGTTCATTATGATAAAAACACAATCTTCTGAGAAAGAAGAGCCATTTTTAAAATTCCAGTTTTATATCACCTTAATATCCATCACCTATTGAGTCCATCATGGAAAATAATTGCAACAGGATTCAAAAAGCAGAGAACAATGATATCTATTTTGGCATTTTAAGGCAAATCATACAAATAAAAACCTTAAATCGAAAGCAATAAATCCATATATAATTGAAAGAGAGACCCACAACTAAACTTTAATACAATTCAGTTCTTTAAATATGAAATTTTATAAAGAAATTAACTTATTAAAAATTTTATTTTAAAAAATGCTGTTTTGTTAGAAATCTATATTTTTTAGAATAAATCCAGTTGTGACTGTTAAAAAAATGACATATTCTTAAAAAGAGCACATTACAACCACACAAAATGCAATTAGAAACATCAGATTGCTAGCACCTAAAATACTACAGACAAAATGCTGAAGGATCACAGAAACTTTAGAAGATGGCTCATCAAATCTCACTCAATTTCTGAAAAAATCTAGTTTTTTCAAGTAGAATACTGCCTTCTGAAAATGGTAACTCAAACAAAAGTAGAAAGAGACCTAAAAAAGGAATATGGATATACATAGTTTTATTTTTTAAATAAACCAAAAACTTCAAATATCGCTTTTTAAAAAAATATATACATTAAGGAATCTTAACAAACAGAAAAGGAAGAGTTGGGACTCAGTCTTGAAAAAAGTGGCCTACAAATGAGATCAGAACTAGGATAGGAAAAATCCAGGTCCTAACAGAGGTTGCCCTAACTACTTCCAAGAATAAGCTCAAAGAGCAATTAGGCCAGATTCTCCTGTCAACCTATCTTATTCTCTGAAGGTAGATAATCAAAGAATTACCACTTTAATTCTCCAAATTAGGAGAAATTCAGATGGATTCCTTAAAACCTGAAGGGGATCAGAATATGCCACCCTA